CATCCTGTAAATATTTCTTGTGTTTATCTGCCTCTTTCACACCACATTCCTGTCCCTTATCCCCTCTTGCCTAGAATCCTCTGGATATATCTTATGTGTTCTTTTTGTTTTCACTCTTGTGCCCTTCAAATTTACCTTCCATGTTTTTGCCAAAGTGCCCTATATAAAAATCCCTGTCTTCAAAATCTCTGTTGCCTGTAAGATAGAGCTCAAGTTCCCCAGTGAGGTGAACTATGCTTGCTTTGCCAATCTTATCTTTCATAACTCATGATCCAGAAAATTGAGGTAGCTATAATTTACCTAAATCTGTCATACTCTTTCTCACCTCTTTCTCTCCTTTGCCTAGACTGCTCTTTTTCTCTCTTTGTCTTTTCCTCATACAGTCCCCTAACTCACCCCCAACCACAATGCACATTCTCCCACCTTAACCCAGGTGAGAGACACATCTTAGCCAGGCTAACTTTTACATAGTACAAGTTTGTCAAATCAATGTATGCATGACCCCTCATGACTCAGGAGAGCAGTCATAGCCGCCAGAAATCCTTAGCTGGTTCCCCAAGTATCCCCAGAAGCTCTACCCAGATCACTGTTCCACTATTTGTAAAGCAGTGTCTGTTCAGTTTATAGTCTTTCTTTTCTAGTAGAGTGTGTGGAAGAAACTGAGTGCAATTCATTTTTAGGAAATCAATTCTTCCCTTCCATATGCATCTTAGGAACATGTCACACCCTGAGTTATGCAAGTTATGCTCAGCATATAGCTGGGGTAGAGATGCAAGACCTTCCTTTCTCCCTCCCTTTCCTGGCTCCACCTCACTGTGTGTACCTGGTGGAGGGAGCCAAACTGGGTAACAATCTGGGCTTTCTCTCTAGCTTCACTCACTTTCCCCCACCCACAGTCCTTTTTATCCCCACAAAAAAGTTCTATTCTCATCTTTTTCTTTATATTAAAGGCAGATCAGGAAGAATTTGAATGCCCAATAAAACAAAATCCAGACAATTAGCAACAGAAACACAGATCCCAGAGGGCTCCATAAACAGAAATACAGATGTCTAACCTCTACTCCCTGAAAAGGAGGGGAGATGCTGGCATTTGTTGCTGGGGTTGGTTACCCTTCCAATCAAAATTGGCCTCATGACTCCTTCTAACTAAACAAAGACAAAAGCCAAACAAAATAGAAACAACAAACAAGTTGGATTTTCACAGTAAGACAGGTTGAACTGTTCAATTCTTTCATGTTTACTTCGCAATGCTTCTACAGAATATTTGTTGATTGAATAATAAATGAAACCCAACTTGTTGAGACACAGTTCTGAACAGGGATTTAAGGAGATGGTAGTCAAATTGGCAGCTAGATTTGACAACCATGTTCTTAAATCTTGAAAAATGATATGGTCTCCTTAAGACAGACACAATCAGATCACCATTTTTCACTCAGCAATTATTCAATGAGATCCTGTTAGTCCCTCAGTATTATATAAAGAAATGTAACATGTAGCCCTTGTTGTGAAGAGACTTGGAAACCAGGGGGCTAGGGGAATTATATACAAATCAAAAGCTAAACAAAATGGACTATGTGAAGAAAGAGGCATTCAAAAGGTAGAATCTGACCAAATAGTAATGGAGTGACACAGACAATAATCATTTTGAGATCTGAGAAGAGTGGTATGCTGGGCCATGAAGTCAGTAGACAAAGTGGAGGTAGGAATGCTCATTATGTTCTTGGGGTGTTAACTTAAATGGCCTGATTAATTAGGAGGTTTGGGTTAGAGGAGATGAGGTTGGGAAGTCTATGGAGGCCTATGAATTTGAGGATAAGAAGTTGTGTTTCATTTGTTAGTCTATTTGTTCTCAGACTTGATTGCAATTTACAATTACCAGAGAAACTTAAAAAAATCTGAATGGAATGCCTGGATCTTATACCCCTTAAGATTGTGATTTAATTGGCCTAGGAATCACAGGTTTTTAGAATTCTCCAGATGACTAGTCTAATATGTTGTCAGCTGGAGAAATCAGTTAGTCCATACTGGTTTTCAATCCCTGATGAATATTAAAATCAAGTGGGGGACTTTTAAGATAGTACAAAGGACAACTCATGGAATGGGAGAAAATATTTAAAGATCACATATCTGATAAAAATATATAAAGAAAAAATATATAAATAACTCTATAATCCAATAATAAAAAGGCAAATAGCCAGTTAACAAATGGGAAAATAATCTGAATAGACCTTTCTGTAAAAAGAATATACAAATGGCTAACAAGTACATGAGAAGATGCTTATGTCATTAGAGAAATGCAAATCAAACCATGATGAGACACCACTTCATACTCACTAGGGTGGCCATAATAGAAAAGACAGACAATGATAAATGTTGACAAAGAAGTGGAGAAATAGGAATCCATATACTGCTGGTGGGAATGTACGATGGTGCAGTTGTTTTGGAAACAGTCTGGCAGTTCCTCAAAAAGTTAAACAGAGTTATTATATGACCCAGCAATTCCACTCTTGGTGCATACCCAAGAGGACTGCAAACATATGTTCACATAAAAACCTGTACACAAACGTTTATAGTAGCGTTATTTATAATAGCTAAAAAGTAATGAATGGAAAAACAAAAGGTGGTATATCCATACAGTGAAATATTATTTGGCCATAAAAAGCAATGGAGTTCTGATACATTGATAACATGGATGAACTTTGAAAACATTGTGCTAAGTGAAAGAAACCAGACACAAAAGCCCACATATTGTATGATTCTATTCATATAAAGGTCCAGAATAGGCAAAACTATATAGTCAAAAAGTAGATTAGTGGTGTCTGGGCCTTGAAGGAATGGAGGAATGGAGCATGGCTACAAATTGGTGTTTCTTTTGGGGGTAAGGAAAATATTCTGGAATCAGATAGCTGTGATCTATTCACAACTCTTTGAATATACACCAAATCCACTGAACCATTTTAAAAGGACAAATTTTGTGGTATGTAAATTATATCCTAATAAAGTGGTTATTAAAAATTTATCAATCCTTCCCCACAACTATCCCCAGCATAGACAAATTAAATCAGAATTTCTGGGAGTGAGAGTACCTGAGCCCTCGTATTTTTTTCTAAAGTTCTTGATACAGAGCCAGAATT